TGAACCAAAGGGCAGGAACCAAGTCTTACTCAAACTAGCAAAGGGCCTGCAGGTCAATGTTTGTTCTAGATTAAAACAAAACAAAACAAAACTGTTATGCATAAACCATTCTTGTAAAAGTATTTTTTTTTTCCATCTTCAAGAAGTACTGTCATATGTGCTAGTGAGACAAATGCTTTGTTAACTATCACCAGAATTCCAGAATTCAGAATTGGCCGACATATTGCGGAGAAGTAGAGTAGGACTGAGCATAGAGGTATTAGTAACAGATTGGTTTGAGTGGGGTATTTTTTTTTTATTTTTGAGATAGGATCTTGCTCTGTCACCCAGGGTGGAGTGCAGTAGCTTCATCATGGCTCACTGAAGCTTCAACCTCCTGGTCTCACACAATCCTCCCACATCGCCTTCCTGAGTAGCTGGGGCTATAGGTGCATGCCACCCTGCCTGGCTTATTTGTGTATTTATTTATATAGAGACAGGGTTTCGCCATGTTGCCCACACTGGTCTCAAACTCCTGGGCACAAGTGATAGCCCACCTCAGTCTCTCAAAGTCCTGGGATTACAGGCATGAGAGCCACTGTGCCCAGCCGAGCATTTGTTAAGCGTATTATATGCTAGACTAGAAAATTTCTTGTAACTGCTGATTAATGTCATTTTTTTTCTTTAAAAAAATGTAGTTTAGCAAGTGTGTATGGTTTTTACCCCTTGAAATCTGAGGTGTTGGAATAAAAATAAGAAAGAAAATTGTTAATTAAATATCTAATATTTCATTTAAAAATTCACATATCTGATGTAAGAAACAAATCTGTTTCTGCACATTGTATAGATACTACAATCAATAGTAAACCTGACCCCTGACCATAAAATTCTGTTAGCTCAACTTAACACAATTATTCTCAGGAAAGAGTAGCTTTACTGCTTTTGTGTAATCGGCAATCCATATTGTAGTAAAACTCAACTTAGTAGGTTTTGGGGCTGGGTGCAGTGGCTCATACCTACAATCTCCACATTTTAGGAGGCCAAGGTGGGCGGATCATGAGGTCAGGAGTTCGAGACCAGCCTGGCCAATATGGCGAAACACTGTGTCTACTAAAAACACAAAAAAATTAGCCAGGTGTGGCAGTGCACACCTGTGGTCCCAGCAAAGGCAGGAGAATTGCTTGAACTGGGAGGCAGAGGTTGTAGTGAGCTGAGATTGTGCCACTACACTCCAGCCTAGGCAACAAAGCAAGACTATGTCTCAAAAAAAAAAAAAAAAAAAAAAAAAAAAAAAAAAAAAAAAAAAAAAAAAAAAAAAAAAAAAAGAATAGAAAAGAAGGTTTGGTTTGGTTTTGTTTTTGGTCTTTTTGGAGCCTTTCTTTGTTGTCCAGGCTTGAGTGCAGTGGCCTGATCATGGCTCACTGCAGCCTTGACTTATTGGGCTCAAGCGATCCTTCCACTTCAGTCTCTCAAGTGGCTTAGACCACAGGTGTACGCCATCATGCTTGGACAATTTTTTTTTTTTTTTTTTTAGAGATGGGGTCTCACTATGTTGCCCAGGCTGGTCTTGAACTTCTGGGCTTGAGCAATCCTCTTACCTCCCAAAGTGCTAGGATTATAGGTGTGAGCCACCATACCCAGTTTTCATGTTTTTAATTTTTGCATTTTATAAATAATATTGTGCATTTGTGAATAAAGCTTTTGCTCTATTTCAGAATTTCCTTCAGAAAGAATCTCAGATATATATGTGATTAGGGTTCCAAGAATTATGAACATTCTTTCTTTTGAAACAGGGTCTCACTCTTTTGCCCAGGCTGCAGTGCAGTGGTGCTATCATGTTACTGGAAAAAAGTCCAGATCCCAAGAGAGGGTTCTTGGATCTCATGCAAGAAAGAATTCAAGCTGAATCCATAAAATGAAACCAAGTTTATTAGAAAAGTAAAGGAATTGGCAGGGGATGGTGGCTCATGTCTATAATCCTAGCACTCTGGGAGGCTTGAGGTGGGTGGATGACCTGAGGTTGGGAGTTAGACCAGTCTGGCCAACATGGTAAAACCCCATACAAAATTTTTTTTTTTTTTTTAGTCTTTACTAAAAATACAATAAAATTAGGTGGGCATGGTCTCAGATGCCTATAATCCCAGCTACTCGGGAGGCTGAGGCAGGAGAATTAAGCTCTTGAGTCCAGGAGGTGGAGGTTGCAGTGAGCTGAGATCGGGCCACTGCACTCCAACCTGGGCAACAGAGTAAGTCTCTCTAACAAAAAGAAAGAAAGAAAGAAAAATAAAGGTAAAGAAATAAAAGAATGATGTAGAGCAGCAGCTTGGGCTGCTGAACTAAGAATATCTATAGTTATTTATTGATAATATGCTAAACGACGGTTTGGTTATTCATGAATTATTCATGAGCTTTCTGGGAAAGGGGTGGGCAATTCCCGGAACTGAGTGTTCCTCCCTCTTTTAAACCATATAGGGTAACTTCCTGATGTTGCCATGGCATCTGTAAACTGTCATGGAGCTGGTGAGAGTGTCTTTTAGCATGCTAATGTATTAATTAGCATATAATGAGCTGTGGGAAGGTCTGGAAGTACTCTCAGTGCCATCTTGGTTTTGGTAGATTTTGGCCGGCTTCTTTATTGCAACTTGTTTTATTAGCAAGGTCTTTAGAACCTGTATCTTGCACCAACCTCCTATCTCATCCTGCACCTTACAATGCCTAACCTTCTGGGAATGCAGCCCATCAGGTCTCAGCCTTATTTTACCCAGCCTTATTTTACCCAGCCCCTATTCAAGACCTCTCTGGGGTCAATGTCTCTGACAATCATAGTTTACTGCAGCCTCAAACTTTTGGGCTCAAGGGATTCTTCTGACTCCTGAGTGTCCTGAGTAGCTAGGACTATAGGTATGTGCCAGTACGCCTGGCTAATTTTTATAATTTTTTTGTAGAGATGGGGTTTCACTGTTTTCATCAGGCTGGTCTCAAAATCCTGGGCTCAAGAGACCTTACCGTCCCAGCCTCCCAAAATGTTGGGATTACTTGAGTAAGCCTCAGCACTGGCCAGTTATGAACTCTTTTTTTTTTTTTTTTTTGAGAAGGAGTCTTAATCTGTTGCCAGGCACCAGGCAGGAGTGCAGTGGCGAGATCTCGGCTAGCTGGGATTACAGGCGCATGCCACCACACCCAGCTAATTTTTGTAGTTTTAGTAAAGACAGGGTTTAACCATGTTGGCCAGGATGGTCTCTATCTCTTGATTTATAATCTGCTTCTGCCTCCCAAAGGGTTGGGATTACAGGTGTCAACCACTGCCTGTCCATGAACATTCTTAAGGGTTGAATTACAGTGCCAAACAGCTTTATAAAGAGATTATTTCAGTTTACACTCCCACTCACAATGTCTGAGAGTACCCTTTTTATCTCACCAGCCTTGAATGTTATCTTTTACTTAAATATTTACTAATATGAGACCCAATTAAAACGTTGCAATTTTTGGTCTGTTTGCTCTTGCAGAGGATAGGATAAAATCAAAGCTTTTGGAGTCAAATGTATATTTGGGTTTGGTTGCTGCTCTGCCACTTCCTAGCCTTGTTACAATGGGGAAGTTACTTAACACTTTTTAAGCCGTCTTTATTTATCGACTGTTTTTTAAAAGGGTCAGTAATAGTATTTACCCCAGAGGGTTGTTGTAATGATTCAAACAGGCAGTTATATAAAAAATTTCACACCAGTGTCTGGCACATGACCAATGACAGTGAATCCTTCACTTTCAGTTGCAAAAGTGTGTTACATAGTTTCCTTCAATTAGTGTACTATGTGGGAATTTACATAATACTTTTTTTCTTACCTACTTCATGGGAAGTATTACATAATACTTTGACGATGCTTGCAATCTGATGTGATAGGCTGAACAATAACCAGGATAATTTTTGCACCCTAGGGAGAAGATAAGGGAGTGACCTTATGGTGGTGTTTAAGAACCACAAGAACCTATTTGGTTACAAAGCACACACCTGGTTCCCATCCTTGAGGAATTTGCTATCTACACGCCCTTGAGTTTAACCCTTGAGTCTCTTGGGGGCTTTTAATTGTTCAGAGAGGTCTCAAAGGGCAATAGTGGAAACTCGCTGAATAGGCAGCCTAGTGAAAGTGATTTGCAGATATTTCCTGGAAAAGCTAGTCTCACCGAAGGTAAATCCTAAGGCAGGAGTATAGGAATTATTTGTTCTATAAAAGTAAGTACACTCGGGAGTTTTGTTATTTGAATCTAAAGTTTGTTCACAAAAGATAAGGTAAATAAAGTATTGCAGGCAGGGCAAGCCAGGCGAATCTGATTTTGTACACTTGCTGTTTGTATATTCATATCAAGTTTTGCTCCCCGAATCATTCCAGCAGACAATACTGAGGGGAGTCCGCATGGATTAGACGACAGAAGACTGATCCCGAAGTCAGGCGCTTCCTGTCTCATTCCAGCCACTAACTAAAGTGAGTGGGCTAGACTTAGTCTAAGATCGAATGCCTAACTTTCTCTAAGTCTAGAATTACGTAGGTTTGGCGGCTCTTTGGGGCCCTACTTCCAACTTTTTCTTGCTAACCCACTTCTTCCAACTGCCAAGGCATGTCGTTGGTAATAAAAAATTATCACACTAAAGAACAGGGATCTGGGAAATTAAAATAAAAAAAATTATCACACATCCTTGCTTGGATTAAAATTTGCACTCCTGATTTGAGGCCATATCCTTTGAGGTTTCGGTGAAGTTTAAAAATTGTCGCTGAAAAATTAAGTTTTTCTACTTTGTTGAAACCTGCCAAAATAATGAAAACGTTCTTTGTGGCAAATCTAAATTCCGCTCAGGTAGGCCCTTTTCTCTCTCCCAGTCCAGGATCTTCAAACCGAACAGCCAACTCTCACGCTCCATTTGGTCCCCGGCTCCCTCTGGGAAGCATTTCTCCTTTGGGGGCGACGGCAACGCCCTCAGTGAGTTTGCTGGCACCAGCGGGAGTTTCAAGTTTCTATTCACCGGGGAGGCGGCGGACGCACTCCGAGCTTTGGGCTGGGCAGCTCCGCTTCCCTCGACCGCAGGCTTCGCCCGAGCCCACCACTGTCAGCAAAGGCTCGACCCTGCTGCGGGTTCGCTGTATTTCCCTGGGGACTCCCGGACCCGCAGCCTCCTCCCTCGAGCTGGCCCGCCGGGGACCGCGACCCCCGGCCACGCCCGGAGCCAGGCCTACGGCAGCGAGCCCGCGGGAGGCGCGGGACGCGGGGCGCGGGCGGCCCCAGGCGGCGGCGTTGCGGCTCGGGCCGCGGCGCGAGGCCGGCCGGCCGGCGGGGGGAGGCGGGGGGCGCCAGGCAGCCCCGCCTTTTCCCCGAGGAGGTGCAGGGCGGCCATATTGCGGAGCTGTCTGCGGCGGCGGCGGCGCCTCTGGTCTCCCGCGGCCCAACGCTCGCACCACTGCCTCTCCCTCCCTGCCGCAGCCGCGCCGCCGCGCAGCGCCCCAGCCACACGCCGACGGGTAGGAGCCGCTCGCTCTCCGGGTAAGCCGCGGCGCCCTCCCTTCCCCCACTCCCCGCTCCTGATTCCTCCGGAGACGCTGAGGTGGCGGCGAGAAGTTGCGGGGCCCGCGCTGCCCGGCCGTGGCGCCGCCGCCAGGGCCTGGCGCGCCTCCACTAGCGCCCCGCCGGCCGAGGCGCCACCGTGGTAACGGCCCGGCCGGCCAGGCTCCTCTCGGGGCTGGCGGGGACCGCGAGGCCCTGCCCGAGTCTTGGTGGAGCTGCGGCCCGAATGTGCCCGGCCGGGCCAAAGTCAACCCTCGCCGCCGCGCGATTCTCCTCTCCCCTGGGAGCAGAGTCAGCCTTCAGCGTCGGCCTCGGACCCCCTGCCCCCTGGGGACGGTGGGTTCCTGGGTGCCTGCAATGGGCTCTGGGCCCGGGCTGGCATGGCCCCGAGGGTTGTTTGAAAATCCAGATATGCAGCGTAGGCAGAATTCGATTTTGCATTTATTAAAACTTGTCTCCCGGCCTCAGTTTGAAAAGAAGGGTGTTAAATTACTAGAGAGCGTGCGTTCCGCCCCAGTGGTAAAGGGGATGTTGCTTGACAGGGTTTGGGGCGCCAGCCGCTCCCGCCGCCTGCACCCGCCAGGCCAGGGCCGCGGTTCCCGGCCGCAGCTCTACCTGCTGCTATTGCAGCTCTCGGAGCCCCGGAACTTTCTCTGGCCCTTGAGGCCGCTCAGTTTAGTGTCTCCGACCCCAGCAGACAAGTTCAGTACATGATAGCACTTTTTCCCTTTGAACGATTCTAAACTCAATTCCCTGACTAACTTTGGAAGGGGGCAGTGCTTTTTTTTTTCCCCCCAATTTAAACAGACTACATCATGTCCTAGACAGATGTCATGTTTCTTCAAACGTTCCCAATATTTGATATTTTTTTCTTTCTTTTTTAAATTCTACCACTAAGATCCTAGGAAACAAGGTATTTTTTTCTTAAAGAGTAATTATTAGTGAGGTTGGAAATGTGTTAAAAGTCAACTTCATAAAAATCTATTTTAAAATACAGTTGAGATTTTTGTGGAAGACACGTTGCTGAGGAGCTCGGTGGCAGTCCTGTGGCTCTAAGACTGGCAGGATGTAAATGCAAAAGCCTAAGATAATAAGTTTATTTGATAAACGAGTACTATGACATAGACATTGCAGTCTATTGTTTACGGAGCATACATTTTCTTTCTTTTTTTTTTTTTTAGAACACTAAATACTCTTTTATATGACTGATGGAGCTAAGAATGAACAATCACCCCGTTCATGTTGCCGGATAAATAATGGCTTGATCCATTTGCCAAAACAGCATCATTGGATTTGAGAAAGGAGACTAATATTCAGGATTGCAGTTTTTTATTTTCAGGATTTGCTTTCCCCAGTGTGCTTGATCTACCAGGAACTAATACTTCAAATACGGCAACATGTAAAACACGCCTTTTGAAGTTAATAGTATGCTGTAAAGAGGATTGCAATGACTTTGTTTCTTGGCTTAATCACTTTCTTATGTATGATGGAATTTAATAAACAGCTGGTATATTATTAGTGAGGAATGAATAAGCATTGGCATTCTTTACGGTTTTGTTTAAGTGAGACAGAATTTGATTATGGCATTGAAAAAACGTTGAGTTCTTGACCTTAGGAATCACATACAATGTTTTGTTCACTCCTGTATCCCCACACGTGAAGAGTATGTAGGAGAGTCTCAGAAGTAGCTGTAGAATAGATATAGTTAATTTGGGTGTAGGGAAAATATGTTGTCTTTTTTTTTTTTTTTTTACACGCGGCGAACTATTTTCCACAGAAGATGCACCATTTTACATTCACATTTCTTCGTTTCCATATCAACCCATTGTTAGTTTAAATTGTTTTTTTTTTTTTTTTTTAATTATAATTACTTAGCTGAAAGTCAAATTGATTATTTTTCTTTTAATGGTAAGAAATGATGGACTTTGCTGTTCTTTCCCTCCTTTGCTAAATCTCAGTAGTCTCAGGGATGGGAAACGGGTTGTTTTTCGTTTATTGGTTCACCATTCCCAAGAGCAGAATTGGGTTTTTTTTTCTTTTTTTGAGATGTAGTTTCTCTCTGCTCAGGCTGGTGTGCAGTGGTACGATCTCGGCTCGCTGCAACCTCCGCCTCCCGGGTTCAAGTGATCCTCGTGCCTCAGCCTCCCGAATAGTTGGGACTACAGGTGTGCACCACTCACTATGCCCTGCTAATTTTTGCATATTTTAGTAGAGACGGGATTTCGCCACGTTGGTAGGCTGGAATGGAACTCCTGGAACCCAGGTGATCCACCTGCCTTGGCCTCCCAAAGTGCTGGGATTATTGGTGTGAACCACTTCACCCAGCTGGAATTAGGTTTTATTATTAATTTTTTATCTTGGACAAGCTGTTGTAGTGTTGAAATTTTTATTTTACTTGCCGTTCTCAATCTTTTAACCTACTTGTGTGATCTGATACAATGGAGTCTGAAATGGTGAATGATGGTGGGAGTCTTGTTTTTTTCATCTATTTTTAATGTAATGCATTTTAATTTATGCTATTAATGTTTAAAAATGGGCTCAAATTTTAACCAATATTTCATGTAGACCAAAGTTTAAAAACTTTGTTTTATTAAGGTTGTGAAGACTGAGCTGTGCCCCCAGAGTTTATCTGTTAAGGTGTAGCTAAATACAATTTCATGATACTGCTGCGAATCTGGGAAGTCAAGCAAGTCACTCTTGGGTGGCAGGGACCTTCCTGCAGACCACTAGCTGGCAGGCAGTACTTAACTGATACTACCCCTGGGGTACAAGATTCAGTGGAGCCAGATTGGGTTGCTATGGACTCCACCATTAAAAGATTATTTTAAGTCTCATGGCATTACTGATCCATCTAAAGGCTGTTCTGGTAACTTCCTTGACTGCTGCAGCCAGGGTGTGTGCTCATTCTTTGGTGGTAGAGGTGGCTAATCTAACCCCAGAGAATTCCTCAATTTCCAGCCTATATTAGAGAAATTCCATTTTTCCTACTTTAAGTTCCTGGTATATTAATATTTATATTGAATGTATAGTTTAAGCCATTGTAAGAACTATAAAAGTGATATATTTTTATTGCAAAGTTTAAAAACCCAGAAAAATGTAAAGGGAAAGGCCAAAGTCCTCCTTATTCCCTAGAACACCCCAGCCCCTCCCCCAGGTTTGTTTTCCATAGGTAACTGCTGTTGGCAATTCCTTGTTTATAGAAAATGCCAGTAGGTATGCAGGGATAAACATAGACTTTATATCCCTTATTTGTGATTTTAAAATCTTGTTGAAATAGGGTTATATTGTAAGAAACATTGAAAGGGTGCTTATTAACTTGTGTTAAACATTGAGTAAATAATATTGTCATGTTTTCATCATTTGAATAAAAAGCACGCAGAATTTCCTACACTAATTCTCAAGTGTGTATATGTGCAAACTTGTTTATATACAGATTTTCTTGATTAATGATTGAAGATAAGGTTTACTTTTTGTCTTCTTTCTAGTGTATGGCATATAATTGACAGTGAGAAATGGTGTCTTTAAGAAAAAAAGGATTTATGATTTGGGGTGGGAAATATCCACACTTTCCCTTATGGAAAAAGTTTGCCAACTTCTTGGAAAAAACATCCTGTTGAAAGGATATTTTAGATATGGTATTGAAGAAAGGTACTATATTGTTCATTTTCTCTAAGATTATAGGATTTATAAAGCTGTGAACTTCATTATTAGTAATTGAGATAAGGGACTGTTTTCTTCTGAATTTGTGGCTTTCAGGACCTTATGGCTTTCAGGACCTTAAATGTTTTTTAAAAAATTTATTTGTGAAAAGTTTAAGTCAACTAGGACTGAGTGCAGGTAATTTTTTTTTTTTAATTAAAAAAAATTTTTTTTTAAAAAAAACGGGGTTTCACCATATTGGTCAGGCTGGTCTTGAACTCCGGACCTCAGGTGATCTGCCCGCCTTGGCCTCCAAAGTGCTTGGATTACAGGCGTGAGCCACCACGCCCGGCTGAGTGCAGGTAAATTTTTGAAGTGAGCACTCTTCCGTTTTGAGCCCTTAGGTCATTTATGATGCTTTGGCATCAGATAACAGAAAATTCTCAAACTGGCTTAATCAATGAGCAAATTTGATGTCATTTAAAAAAATTTTTTTTAAAAAAAGGGCCTTCATCACCTAAGCTGGAGTGCGGTGGCTCTATTACAGCTCACTGCAGCCTTAACCTCCTGGGCTCAAGTGATACTTGTTTCTCCCACCTCAGCCTCCCTAGTAGCTGTGACCATAGGCGTGTGCCACTATGCTGAGCTGATTTTTTATTTTTTTCCAAGATAGGGCCTTGCTCTGTTGCCCAGGCTCCAGTGCAGTGGCGTGATCTCAGCTCACTCCATCCTCTGCCTTCAGGGTTCAAGCAATTCTCTTGCCTTAGCTGTAGCTGGGATTACAGACACAGGCCACCAAGCCCAGCTAATTTTTGTATTTTTAGTAGAGACAGGGTTTTACCATGTTGACTAGGCTGGTCTCAAACTCCTGACCTCAAGTGATTCACCTGCCTTGGCCTCCCAACGTTCTGAGATTACAGGCATCAACCACTGTGCCCGGGCAACAGCTAGTTTTTTAAAAATCTTTTTTTGTGGAGTTGGGTATCCCCATATTGCCCAGGCTGGTGTCTAATTCTTGAGCTCAGATGATCTTCTGCCTTCGACTTCCTGCCTCGGCCTCCCAAAGTGCTGCAATTACAGGCGTGGCCAAAATTTAATGTCTTATATACTAAAAGTCCAGAGGCTCAAGAATGGTTCAATAATGACATCAAGGACAAGGACCCCTTCTCTTTCCAACTCTCTTCCCTGTGATTTTCCGCATTAACTTTGTACTAAGACTACCCTTCCCTGTCCCAATTTGGCTGCTGCAGAGGAATCAAAATGCTGAGGTTGGAGGATCACTTGAACCTGAAAGATCAAGGCTACAGTGAGCCACTTGTCCCATTTTGGCTGCTCCATCC